CCGAGAGCTTCCCCTCGGGGAGATGCAGGCGCGCTGGGCTCCCCCATGCCTCAGTTTCCCCTGTCCCTTCTCTCCGGTCCCTCGGCTGTGTGCAGGGCACTTGCTGGGGTGCTCTAGAAGCAGGGCTCAGCAGCGTGCTCTGGACCCTGCAGCCTGGGGTCCATGTGGATGGATTTGGAGGGTCCTGGAGGGGAGCATCGGGACTAATCTCCCCATGCACTGACCACAATGCCCTTGCCTTGCAGGGCTGGTGATGTGTGTGCCTTCACCAGCAACACCCGCTTCTCCCAGGCCGTGAAGAGCACCTTCCCCAATATGAACAACACCCTGAACAATGTCCAAATCTACCTGGCTTCCATCCCTCAGGCATGCCTGGTCCCCCTACCCTGACTGGAGTACCTGATGGGGGAGCAAGGGGACAGAAGGGGTGACCAGCCCAATAGTCCCCCTGGGGAAGGATAACAGTGAGGCTGGAGGCAGAGAAGAGTCCCCACCTTCACTGACACCTCATCTCTGTCCCTGCAGCAAGTCGATGTTATCACTGAGAGGAGTGACATCCCACTGGACCACGTCAACCGCAGCCTTCGTGGTGAGGGTTTACAACAGGGGTGGGGAGATGGGGTGCTGGAGCATCCCTGTGCCCCTGTGGTGAGCTGCTCCCCCAGGGCTGGGGGTGCTTGGGGAGTGGGGGTGCTGTGGGTTTGCCTTGCTGCCCTGTGGATGGCTGCTGACCCTGGGGGACACTGGGGTGGTTCTCATGGGGGTGTCTAAAGGGAGTGGGTCTGTGTATCACCAGGTTCCAGCTCTGCTCCAGCTGCTGCTCTTCCCCATTCAGGCTCCCGTCTGGAGAGGGTGATGGAGATGCTGGCAGGGTGGGGTGTCTGTCTCCTCTGCCCCCCACCTGGGGGGTGCATGTGAGATAGGGTGGTGGAGGGGGTCAATGTTTTCAGCAGCTCGCCTTGCAAGCCCCATCTCACTCATCTCTGCAGACATTGGGCACAACCTGGGTGGCATGATCACCTTGAGCATCAGGAAGAGCATGGATGGGGCTCTGGAATCCCTCCGGAGTCTCTTGCAAGGTAGTGGCCCCATCCCTGGGAAGCTGGCAGGGATGTGAGGGGATGCTGGGGCTGAGAGCTGGGGTAGATGCATGTTTGAGTAAGGTTCCCAGGGAGGGGGTCCATCTGGCCTCCCAGCTGCACCCTGGGGCAAGTGCTGGGACTTTGGGGATGCCTCTCTGTTGTATTTTTTGATGGGTCCCCGAGGTCCAGCTGTGTGAGGACAAGTCCCTGCCTCACTGGCAGGATGAGCCCCTGAGCCCCCTGCTGTCTCCCCAGGGATGACGAGGCTGGAGGCCAACTTCAACAGCATTGCCACCAGTCACTCGGACCTCAAGAAGCTGCAAAGAGGCTACAGCCAGCAGCTGGACAGCCTGCAGCTTAGCCTCAACCAGACCCTGCAGCGCTGCGGCTCCCCCTGTGACGGCGTCTCTCTGGACAGCCTCGCCTTCTCCACCAACTTCAGCATGGTGAGGAGGAGCAGGATGAGGAGCCAGGGGCCCCTGCAGCTCCTTTCCCAGTGCCCTGCAGCCCCCTCACCCCAGGCTCTTCCCCACAGATCCCCAGTGTGGAGCAGCAGCTGGAGGCACTACATAACGTGTCTGACTCCAACATAACAGCTGATTTAGAGGAGGTAAGGGGTACCCTCCACACCCAGGCACAGACCTGGGTGCTCCTGGTGCTGCTGGGGCTGCGCTGCCGGGGGGTGGCTTGGGAAGACCCTCATTGGGAGCTTGTTGCCGTGACATGGAGGGAAGGTCTGGCTGGAGGTCTGCTCGCTGTCCCCACTACCCCATGGCACTGGCAGGGTGGACCAGGTGGTGTGGGGAGCCTGGCTCTCCTGTGCCACTGGGATCTGGGGACAAGAGGATGTGCTGCTCAGCCACGGGCTGCGGGCAGGGACGTGAGCTGTTTGCTGTGCTGCCCTGACACAGGTTAACACCATGCTGAACACGACCCCTGACAAGGTGCAAGAGCAGTCCCAGGACTTGGTGGCAAGTAAGCAGGGCTTTGTCCCCCATGTACTGACATGTACCCAGGGCTCCCTCCTCCCTTCTCACCCCACATTTGCCTGGAGACCTCCTCTGCTGCCACCCTGTCTGCAGCCCTGGTTGTCCCCAGGTGCCATCATGCCAATGCCAACTTTGGCCATGACTGCCCCCTTCCCATCCTCTCTGGGTCCCTGCTGCCCTGCAGGACCCGGGCAGCAGCTCGCAGCACCAACCTGTCCCTGTCTCCTGCAGAGACCCAGGACCAGCTGGGCTTCATCAGGCAGGAGATCAGAAACTTGCAGGAGCAGTTGCCGTTTCAGGATGTGGAGGATAAAGTCAGTGCCTTTGTGGGCAATGCCACATCAGTGCTGGAGGGGTACAGGGAGCCAGTCATCTCCTTGGATAGGCTCAGGTAGGTGACAGGCTGCTGCATCCCTGGCTCTGTGGTCTAGAGATGCTCAGGCTCCTGATCCTCCAGTTGCTGGAGGTGGGGGCTTGCTGGGTCGTGGGGCTGTGGGCACAGGGTAGTCAGAGCTGTGCCTTGCATCCACATGTGCCCCTTCCCTTCCAGGGTATCTGGGGGCTTTTTCGTCCCCATGAAGGCAGCTGGTTGGCTGCTGGGTGCTGCTCAGGGTCCCTGCCTGACTCCTGCCCCTCCTCTTGCTCCAGGTGGATCGTGTGTGCTTTCCTATGCTGCACAGTGCTGCTGGTGGTCCTCTGCAACGTTTTTGGGCTGCTGCTGGGGCCCCTGGGGCTGAAGGAAGGCGTGCTGCCCACACAGCGCAGCTGCCTCTCCAATGCCGGCGGGAACTTCTTCATGGCGTGAGGCTCCCTTGGTTGCTGAGGATGGGTGTGGGAGCACTGGGACGGGTGGGCAGGCCTGGACTGGGAATGTTTGAGCTCCTAAGTCATCATATTACTACAGCTTAATGTCCTGCCCCATGGCAACTCACTGTGCGGGTGGTAAACGCGAAGGTCAAACGTGGTGCTGATGAGAGGTGTTCAAGGGGAGCTAGTTTGCCCTGTGCCAGCAGCGTGTGCATGGTCCTGCAGCTCCGTGTGGGGGTGCTGGTTTGCAAAGCTGTGGGAAGCTGTTCTGGAGTCCAAGACCCAGGGTAGAGCCTGGTTGTGCTCTGGGGGCCAAAGGCAGAACAGAGATGTGCTTGTGAGAATGGTGGTGTTCCTGGAATTGTGGGGGGCAAGGAGTGTGCAGCCCCTGGGCTGTGTGAGCTAGAGGCAACGCCAGCATCAGCACCGGGGCATGGGGCTGTGGGTGCTGACAGCATCTCTGTCCTGGCAGAGGGGTTGGTTTCAGCTTCATTTTTTCCTGGCTGCTGATGCTGCTGGTGCTGATCACCTTCGTGCTGGGGGGAAACGTCTATGTGCTCATCTGCGAGTCCTGGCACAATCAGCAGCTCTTCCAGGTGAGTTCCCTTTGGGGAGACACCCGTGCCTGGAGTCACTGCTGCCTTTCCAGGGGCTGCTGGTGGAGCAGAGGCAGCACTGGCAATTGGGATGCTCTTCCAAAGTGTCCTCCCCACCATGTCTAATTTCTCTCTCTCTTCCCTTGTTCTGAGCTCCTGGACACCCCCGGCCTGATCCCTGGTTTCAACCTCTCAGAACTGCTGGGGCAGGAGGGTGACACGTCAAACTTCTCAGAGATATACAGGTGGGTCTCAGCTCTGGCACTGTGTCTCTGGGGAGGGGTACAGCTGCTCGATGCCCTTGGATGCACTCCGGGAGGGGGACAGCTTGCCCCACCTGCCCTGGCTGTAGTCAAGCACTGATGCCAAGGAAACAGCGAGGTGTGACCTGCCTGCACAGGTGAAGACATGCTCCTTGGGAGGGGGTGGCCCTTGCCTGCTCTTTTCAACCCTGTGCCCCCATCTTGCAGGCAGTGCCAGCAAGATGCTCCCCTGTGGCAATCCCTGCATCTGAACCAGAGTGTGTCCCTGGATGAGCTCTTGAACATCAGCCAGGTGAGCACAGGGGTGCCAGGGTCTGGAGGGCAGGGATGGAGGCACAGGGCTGGCACTGAGGGGACAGGCAGGGTCCAGCACATGCCTCATCACAACCCCCTTGCTCTTGCAGTACACAGAAGACATCTCCATGGCTTTCGAAGAGGTGAACATCACCCTGAGCCCCATCTCTCTGCTCAGCCAGAACCAGAAAGACCTGCTGCTGAATGCCAGTCAGGCTGGGCAGCCCCCTGACTTCACCCTCACGCTGGAGCAGGTGGGCTAAGGACAGCTTGGTGTTGGGATGAGGGGATTTGGATGTGGGTTGAGGAGGTCCATTGCTCCCTCCCCTTTGCTGTTGTGGCACTTGTACTGCAGGCTCTCAGGAAGTCCTCTGCCACCCATGTCACCCCTTTGGGCAATTGGGCACATCCTCCACCCAGAAGGCCTTGGCTCCACTCTGCCCCACAGGGATGGGGTATGGCTCCTCCCATGAGCTCTATTCTCATGGGTCTGTCTCTGCCTTTTCCAGTTGGATCAGAGCATAACCCAAGGAAGCCTCCTGGATCTGGCTGCAGAGTTGGAGCACCTGGCAAACAAAGAGGTGAGAGACCATGGCACCCTGGGACTATGGCCACTCAGTCCACAAAGCCACTGGCTGTGGAGGCTCCACTGCCCCTGCCTGGGTGTTGAGGGGAAGTGATGTTCTTCACTCTCACCCAGCTCTTTTCCCCAGCCCAGCCCAGCCCATCAGGTGGCTGTGGTGGGGCAGGGAATCTGTGCTGGGGGCATTGCTGACTGCAGCTCCTCCAGGGCACAGGTGTGAAAGAGGACCTGGAGTCTGATATTCACAAACTGAGGGAGCTGCACAAGTCGATGCAGATGAACTTCTCTGGGCCACTGGTGAGCAGTGCTGGGGAAGGTCCTGGGGATGCTGGCTTGGGCTCCCCCAGAGCTTAGAGCCTGCTGGCAGGATCTTGTCTGGGCTGTGGGATTCACACCTCTCTCCCCCTCTCTTCATTCCCAGGAAAGCCTGAAGGAGAATATCCACTCGGTGCAGAGTGGGGCTGCCCAGCTTGAGGTAAGCTGCACGAGGGGACCTCTTGAGTGCACCTCAGTCCAGGGCACCCTGCAAAGTGCTCTTGAGGTCCTGCAGCGGAGATGGTGGGGCTAACCTGCAGTTTAGGAGGCTTGTGACTGCTGTGGGACTCCCCAAGCATGTGCTGCAGGGCTACTCATGGGCCACAGGGAGGGGGCCCACACTACAGACTCTGCCAGCCACAGACTCCCTCCACCTGAGGTACTTGGGCACTACCAGCATGTGACTGCTGGGGACACCACAGCCCAGAGATGCTGCACCCCAGGGATTGCTGCCATGCAGGGTAGGGGAGATGTGGTGACCCCACTTCCTCTATCACACTGCTGAGAGCATCTTTCACCCCAGGGACAGACAACAGCTGTGCTGGACAAAGCCTACAAAACACAGGAGTTCCTGAACAGGGAAACACCAAACATCATCAAGAACGTGAGCCTGCCTTGCCCTTTTGCCATGCCAGTGGGGATGTGACTGGACTCCCTCTGTGCAGGGATGCCAAGTGATGTCTGGCTGCTTGTCCTGCCCTGTTCCCTTCCCTGGGGGTTCCCTGAGCCTCCCTCCCCTTATGACACCCCCAGCAAGGGACTGGGATGGGGTGAAGCATGCAGCCCCATTGCTGCTGGGTTGAGGTGGTCTGACAGCCCTGATCCTAACACGGAGGGGACATGGGACATGCACAGTACTGGCAGTGCAGCATCTCCCTTCTGTATTTACCCCCACAGGAGACATTGGCCTTTGTGGAGCAGCTATTGGATTTCTTTGAGACCTACATCTCCTGGGCCAAGAGCAGCGTGAGTTGAGCCTTTCTCAGTGAGAGGGAGGGAAGGGGAGAATGGGCTGTGCAGTTTAGGGTACACTGACATATCATGTCCCCACCATGTCCCCAGCTGACAGAAGATGTGGCACGTTGCAAGCCCATAGCTCAAACCCTGGATAACGTGGAGGTCATTGGCTGCGACTATGTTCTGGACTCTGTGGTGAGTGGGGCAGCAGTGTGTGGAGTGACACATGTGGGGGGTGGCAGTGAGGTCCCCTTGTCCTCTTCATGCATAGGATGAGAGGAAACGCATCTGTGTCCCAAGCAAAAAGGGCTCGGCTTCTCCACAGCACATTGCTGTGTTGAAGAGCTAAGGCCAGGCTGTGAGGAGTGGGTGGTTGTTGGGGAGCCTTGGGAGCAAAAGACATTCTCCCAGTCACTTTCTGGCCCTAATAGCTCTTCCCCACACTCCCCAGAATGCCTTCTGGTTCAGCCTGGGCTGGTGCACCTTGTTCCTGCTGCCCAACATCATCCTGGCTGTCAGACTTGCCAAGTTTTACCGCCGCATGGACATTGCTGATGTGTACAGGTGAGGAGCATCCCCACTCCCTGCAACCACACTGGGTCTGAGGTCTCCTTGTGCACTGCTAACTGCCCTTTCACGTGCTCCATGGTAGCCTGTGGGGCTGATCCTAAAGTATTGTGGGCTGAGGAGGACCACGGAGGTGACTTGTGACCCTCAGCATCTGAGGATGGAGATGTTCTGGAGAAGAGCCTGGCTCTGCCTGCTCTGAACCTCCTCTTTGGGCAGAGGAAGGTGCATCTGCCTCCCCTTGGAGGAAGGAGCCTGGCAGGGCTGCAGCCTCCAGCCTGGCTCAGGGGTCCACCACCAGCCTTGCTCTGTTTTGCACCACTTTCGTGCTGGGGCTCCTGAACAGGAGCACAACTGGCTGCTGTGCAGAATACAATATGCTGTGTGGTTTGGTGTCATTGGCACTAGGGCGCAGGGATTGTGCATGCATCCATGGCTGCTGGCACCCTGGGGCTGCCCCCAGCCCTCTGGGGCCTCTGACCAGCAGCTTCACTGCCAGTGCTGCCACTGACCCCCAAGAGGAATGAGCAGTTTCCAGCTGGATTTCCAGCTCCCAAGGGCTACATCTTGGCCTTGTGGTGCAGATGGTGTGCTGAGGGTTCCCCAGGCCTGGCCTCTCACCTGCCACCCCTCTGAGCTGGCCAGTCATGGGCTCAGCCACCCAGGAAACTTGAGGGAACTGTAATCATGGCACGGGAGAGCTGTGTGCTGCCGAACTGGTGAGTGTAGGGCCCTGCTCTGCCTGCCCAGGGAAGGAGCAGTGATGCTCTGGGGGCAGCAGCATTCAGTGGGGCTGTAGGAGCCTGTGCTCTGTATTCAGATGGGTCAGCCAGAATGGAGGGGACCACAGAACCATGAAACTCCTTGTGTTCTCCTTCTGTGACCTGGGGGAGACCTTGTCCAATCAGAAGATTCTGGGCTGTTCCAGGAGGCATCTTCTTGCCTCACTAACACTGTCTGTTCTTTTTTTTCCCCTTCAGGAATGAAGAATTTGACATGTAAGCTACTTACACTGCCAGGTCCCTGTTTGCCATGGGGAACAGGTCCTGTGGTATGAGAGACAGTCGTGCCTCTCTACAAGAGGGACATGGAGCTCCTGGAGTGGGTCCAGCAGAGGGCAACAAAGATGATTAAGGGACTGGAGCATCTCTCTTATGAGGAAAGGCTGAGGGGGTTGGGCTTTTTCAGCCTTCGGAAGAGACAACTGAGAGGGACTGCATTAATGTCTATAAGTATCTGAAGGGAGGGTGCCAAGAAGATGGAGCCAGGCTCTACTCTGTGGTGCAAACCAATCAAACAAGAAGCAATGGGCAGAAACTGATGCACAGGAAATTCCACCTGAATATGAGAGGTCATGGATTCTCCCTCACTGGAGATATTCAAGGACAGTCCGGATGCAATCCTGTGCCATGTGCTCTAGGACAACCCTCCTTAAGCAGGGAGGTTGGACCAGATGACCCACTGTGGTCCCTTCCAACCTTACCCATTCTGTGGTGGGAGACAAGGGCACAGAGTGGGGGGGGTGTGAGGTGGGGAACAGGGTGACTGCAGGCCAAGGGTGCTGGTACCAGGGGAGGGCTGTGGAGGTGGGACCTTTGCAGTATAGACAGTTCTAGGGTCCCCCCATCATCTTCCCACACTCATAAGTTTAGGGGTGCTGCTGCTTCCAGCCTCCCAAGCTGGTGGGTTTGGGAGGGCTGTCTTCATACTCTCTTTCCTGTGGGGCTGGTTGATAGGAGTGGGATGATGTTTGGCTATCCCAGTGCTGCGTGAGCTGTCCCTTGCTCCCCTCTGTGGCTGAGGGTGACACGAGTGACCTTGCTTTTGCAGGCCACCCGCATTCAACTTCTACAAGATCCCCAGGCCATCCACAAGGCATTAGCCTATGTTGCCCGCAGATGGAGGAGGAGGAAATGGACGTGGCTGCTCTCTCTGCTGTGCTTTCTCCCTCAGTGCTGGGTTGAAGGTTGGGAACCTCATCTGAAACCTCCTTCCAAACGCCCATTCCGCGATAATGCCCCTGTATGTGTGGGAGGAGGGTTGCCTCTTGCACTGCTGCAGGTGGGACTTCACACCTCCCCACCCCAGACCCCGTGGGCTCAGGCCCCTCACTTGAAAAAAGTGACTATTTATTTTTCCAGAGAGCTTGCCCCTTTCCAAGGCTGTGATTTTTGGTGTCAAACAATAAATGGGGTGTTAGTGTGTACTGTAGGATGTAACTGCACTCCTTGGCTCTGGCTGTGATGGAAGGATGCAGGGGCAGGGGTAAGGGCAGGGAGGGTTCCCCACTGCTGGCACAAACTGGGGCTGTGCCTGGGACCAGAGGACTCTTTCTGGGGTTCCCTAGTGTGCTCTGCCCACAGTTAGACCATGGGTCGATACAGGACCACTGCTCAGTACCACCAGGGCTGTGTGATTTTCCTCTAACCAGGCAGCCCTTTGCACCTCTGGCTGGGTGCCAGGTCCTTTCCTGGGAAAAGCTGCACCAGGAGCCTCCTGTTCTTAAGGTGCCACTCCATGCTGTCCCCAGCACATGAGCACTTCCCCCTGGCCTGTGCTGACCCTGGTATATGTCATCTGTGGGTTTCCAGTTAGTTTATGGGGTGCCTGCAGCCTGCACCTCCCTCTTTCTGCTAGATAGGGGACTTCCATGTCCACACCTGCATGTCTCACACTCTGCACGGTGACAGCTACACGTACAGATAAGCTAAGGGTGACTTGGTCTGCAGCGCTGAGGTGAGTGCAGGTGTTGCTTTGTGCTGCTCCTTGGTGCAAGCACGGGGACCGTATCAAATGCCATGTCAGGCACAGGGAACGTGCATGAGCATCTTGACTCATTTCCTATGTTGCAAAGTCCAAGTGTCTCTGGAGCAGAGTGAGGGCCAGGCCAGCCAGCTCACACTCTGCTACGTGTATCTGCTTTATTGCTTTTTCTATTTGCCTTCAGATATTCTAATCGCAAGTTTTTCCTTTGGGCAGTATCTGAAGCTGCACCAGCCTTACCTCCTGCTATCTCCCCCCAGCACCCCTCTGACTGCAGAGAGTCCTGTGCTTATCACTCAACTGAATCTGTCCTTTGGAGTGGTTTGGCCCCTGCTCCCCTCAAGGATGCCCATCCTTCCTGATTCTTGGGGTGGGATTTCCAGCACCCCCTTGGAAAGCATTCAGCTCAGTTTTGTCTCTTGCTCTCCCCTACCCTGAACCCTCAACCTCCTGAATTCTGACTGCTTCCTGCTTGGCTAGGGCCCACGTGTGGAGGTCTCTGTCCTCAAGCCTCAGGCTGTTCCTACCGCGTGGTGTTCCCTGCTTCCTCTTCCTTTGCTGTGCCTCGGGGACAACCAGCCCACACAGGACTGTTTCCGCCTGCTGGCTTTGTGGGCATTGCTCCTTTCCTGCTCTGCCTTTTCTTCTCTGCAGAGCTAGTGCTGGAAGACAGGGAGTTTGACCCTCATTTGCCATGTCACAGTGGCCACTTGCATCCAAAGCCAACCCCGGCAATGAAGATCTCCCCAAATATTACTGCACAAGCCTTTGCCAAGGCGTGGGGCTTGCTCTCAGCAGTTCCCCATTTTGTGCTACCCCAGGGCAGCATCCCAGTCCTTGGAACCATGGTTCCGAGACAGACCTGGGTCCATCCATCATCCTCCTCCTGAACAACCCTGGGAGGTGGGCAAGAGCAGTGTCAGGCAGGGCCAGCAGCTGCTTGAAGAGGAGGCAAGGATAGCTCATTACAAAATGCCCACAGTGGCTGCTGCCAGCTCTCCCTTCAGGCCAGTTCCCTCCGCTCATGTGAGTGGCAGCTGCCAGAATCAAGGTCCCTTGCATGGGAGGGAACTCGCAGTGCCCCACGGCCACAGCACAAGGACACCCATAAGGAAGGTCTCATCAGTAGCCAGAGAGCCTCTAGGGAACCATTGAAGCAGTTCCTCTTTCTCTTTGCCAGACCTTTTTCCACCACAGGGACTTTCTGCAGCCAAGCCCTTGTGCAGGGGAGGCCCTGCCATGTCTTTACAGTGGTTTCACAAACCAGGCTGTCTCCAACAGCAGTTCTGCATGCCTGGGGCAGCAGGACCCCACCAGGCCAGCTGGGTGCTCCCTGTTGCTAGTTTTCAAAAAATGGACGAGTTGCAGCTCTTGAAAAATCCTGCCTTCCTCAACTCTATCTTGGGCCCAGCCACAGCTGTGCACTGCCTGGATGGTCCTTTGCTGTGACACACACACTCCTACCTCCATGGCTTCATAGTGGTAAGTAGTGAGTGCCACTGAGGGAACGAGCCATGTGGGCACAGCTTGCTCTCTGAGCCCAGCTGCACCAGGTGTGAGCCACACTGGGCACTACCAGTGAGCTGAGCTTGGCCACTTTTCACCAGAAGCAAAACAAAACTGCCCTCCCCGCCAGGGTGTGCACCCTCACAACATCCACCACCACCACCTCAGCACTGCTTTAGGAACCTTTATTTTTTAAAGAATCTGTTTTCCACACTTAACTCCACTCTGGAGAGGACTAATGTAGGTAAATCTCCCCCAGCCCAGCAAGGCAAGAGACAGCTCCTTCACACCATAGCCCACGGGGAATGCAGGGGCAAAACTGCAGCCAGGGTCCCCTCCTGGAGGCCAGGCAGAGAGGCTGGAACCTGGATCTTCCTGCACAACTGCTCTCAAGTTACACTGACTTTGCAAACAGAGGCACAATATGAGCCAGACAACCCTGACAAAGCCCCTTTGTGTGCAAAGGGCAAAGGTAGAGGAGATGGGAACAGAGGGCCTGGGTGTCCTGCAGCATAATCTAAGCTTCCACAAAGGAAAGGGAGAGGCAGGGCCAGCCTCAAGATCACACAGGCTGCTGCCAGCTTCTCAGCTCAGACGAGGGTTTAGTTACTGTCTGGCATAGAGAGATAAGGGAATTAGGCTGCTCTCTTCAGCTAAGTAGCTGCAATCAGTCACAGCTACAGGATTGATCCCAGAGGGATTGCGGCGAGACAGCGTGCAGAGTGCTGCAGCTGCCAGCACGTGTGCTGGGACCCCCAGTGCCACGGAACTGCACCACACTGGCATCATTGCACACACTCGGCATCTGACTGAGCCCAAAGCAGCAGGACTTGGTGACTTCACTGCAAGAAACAGGTCCCATTTCTCACAGGCAGAGCTTGGAGGCACCACCCAACTCACTGAGCAGAGAATAGAGGGGCAAAGACCGTGTACGTCCTTGCCTACCACTCCACCACCAGTCCTAGAGGATCAGGAAAGTAGAAGTGGAGTTATAAAGGAGCCAAGCAAACTGAAAACAAAGTGCTTTGGGCAGGGAGCAGTTCTGTAGTCTTGTAGTGCAGCCAGTGCTTTCATCTGCAAACGCACCCAGCATTTGCTCCTCCACTGGGGCACACACAATTGCACTTGCTAGGAATAGCCAGAAAGCCTGTCCTGGCTCGGAGGAGATCCCCCAACCCCAACCACACAACAGGCTCTTCAAGACACTGCTGCAGGGAGGCTTCAGAAAGGAGCAGGCTTCCATACTGCCAGGCAGGGCAGGATTTCCTGAGGTGGATGTGGCTTTCCACTCGTGCACAAGCCTTGGGATCACGCTGTCCTTCCCCCCTTCACACAGTGTCACCCTGTACCAGTGCTGAAGGTGAGGAAGTCCTTGCAATGGGTGGCTGAGGGGCATCATTGTCCGCTGCTTTTGAGGGGATTTTGTGCTCTCGGGGTGGGGTGGGAGGGGGGAAGGTGGGGCTTTGCAAGGCATCCGAGTACATCTCTTCCTGGACACTGGGATGCTGCACAACCTTTTGCAGCAGTGGCTTGAGCAAGCCCACAGTCAGCTGGCTCCCCTCGCTGGAGAAAGGCACTGGGTCCTCCTGGGAGTGAGGGAGGTGCTGCAGGACCACAGTGAGGATGTCTGAGGCAGTGAGCTCAGTGGGGCACAGAGGCCATAGCCTGTCCAGATAAGGGTCCAGCTCCCGGTGCTGGGCAAACTCAGCCAGCAGCGTGGTGAATATCTCCTTGTTAAGCAAGGGGCTGAGTTTGGAGAACTTCTCTGCCACCTCCACCACGCGCTGCCACCGCTTCAGGCGGATGAGAAGGTGCAGAGCTTGCAGCACGGCCTTAGGCCTCTTGCTGCAGAGCAGCAGTTCGAGCTCCATCTCATCATCTTCCTCACTGTGTTTGTTCTTCCGGGCCAGTACTCCCAGTGCTCTCTTGTACAGTGGCACTCGGCCCTCTGGGCCCTCCTTGCTGCTGTATGGCCAAGAGATGCTAACATACTGCTGGGTCAGCTCCACAAAACTGGGCAACCACTTGGGTTTGAACCTCAGGAAGGAGGCACAGATGAGCTCAAAGAGTGGGACCATCCCATTCTGACCCACCTCCTCCAGCTGTGGTCCTCCCAGGACCTTCTTCCACACCTCTGGGGTGGCCCTGGCTACCAAGAGGCCATCCCCATTCTGCTGCAGCTGCAGGCAGCTCCTTGTGGCCTTCCAGGCAGCCTTGGGGAAGGAAGTAAAGACAGAGTTCAGGTACACCAAGTTGTCCTTGTCCATGTCAGAGTGAAGAATGCGGCTGACCTCCTGCTCCACCAGTTCCTTGCAGTACCTTTCCACCTCACTCTCTGGAGCACACACTACACAGGTCTTGAGGAGCTCCAGGCTCATGTAGCTCTGCAGCTCCAGACTCATTGTGCTCAACAGCTTGGCATAAGTATCTTGGAGGCCTCGGGCTGGCTTCTGCTTCAGGCTGTGCTGCAGGATGGCAGCGAGGGCCACAGGAGCCTGGAACACACCACCTTTCTTCAACTTCTCCACTGTCAGCTTAGAGCTGCTGAGGCTCCTCCTCTGGTAGTATCTGCAGGCCTCCTCAAACACCATCTCCACAAGGCATGGCTCAGGTCTGCTGCTGTCTTCAAGTTTGGAGAAGCTAAAGCTGTAGATGCCAGTTTGAGTGAGGAGCTGGAGATTGTCCTCCTCTCCTGGGAACTCCAGGAAATGCACCTCTTTCGTGCTCAGGACTTCCTTTTCTATGAGCCTTCCACTGTTCTGGTCGACAAGGTACAGGACTCCAGTCAGCACACAGGCCAGGATGCTGCCAAAGGTCTTCATCTGGACAGCACTCCCTTGGGCCAGGGGGCCCCCCTCCAGGTCAAAGACATGCCTCTGTGTCCCATCTGGCTCCACCATATTCACAGCACCCTTCGTGCTCACCAGCAGCAGACCCCCACTGCTGGACACAGCGGAGGTGTGAATGTCCAGAGGTGCAAAACCTGAGAGAAGGCCCACAGAACGCAGCAGGAGTTTCCTGAAGTCCGACTCACTGCTGGAGCGCAGCACCTTGCTGTGGATGAAGCCTGCAGAGGGGGCTGTGACGGTGAGCTCTGCTGTCTCGGGATGCCAGATGAGGAGGAATTTGGAAGTGGTGGCAAAGCCGGCAGCAGCAGGCACCAGGAAGACATGCTGGGGGGAGGCCAGGACCTGGTACTCAGGGCTGTTGTGCAGGACTATCCTCACGGTGCCCAGGCGCACACCTTGCTCCCCCACCTCCAGAGCACGGGCACAGACACAGAACCTGAAGGCACACTTGTTCATGTCTGAGTGGGCACCCAGGGGCGGCCTCTCCTCACACCACACCAGGCTGCCCCCCTGGCTGCACACGGAGACGATTCGCGCCCGGGCACCCTGGCAGAGCTCCAGCGTCTGCAG